CCCTGAAATGCATCCAGAGAGCTTATTAGTCATGTAAATAAAGAATGATGGCAGCGCTCGGCGGCAGCGGCAGGCGTTGGGGTGGACCGGAGAGGGGTTCAAAACTGTCGTTTTCGGTCTCATTTTATTTTTATTTCATTTTATTTTTCCCTTTCCGCCTCTGATCCTGCGACGAGCATTTCTGTCTCCTCACCTTGCTGGGGGAAGCTGGGAGCCTAAACCCGTTTGTCATTAGGAGCGTCCTGCCTGCCAGCTTCTGTAGGATAAACCATATGTTGTCACAACACTATTTTTAATTTAGGGTGTTGGTTACATCACATCACTGAATTGGGCAATCTCTGTATGAGGACGAAGGTAATGACTGTACCAGGGTTTATCAACTTGTATTTTAATGAGTGTTTATCAGCATTATGAGAAGTCAGTAGCAATAAGTGACTTGGGTAGACTGAATTAGTAGCTTTTTTTTTTTTTTGTCTGAAAATGAAACAAATAATCCATATAAGTCTTTCCTGTATATTAGGAAAGCCTTTTTTGGGTGGGGGGGGAGGGAGAGTAGGAAGGCTACAGGCAGCTGCATTAAATATTTTGGGAAGCTATTCCAAGTCCGTGTCACACATGAATAGTGGTGTTTATTTTCTAAATGAAGCCTGGGCTCCGGATTGTTTGGTGGCCAACGGCCACTAATGAACTTTGCTTCCTTCACCGCCACCCAAAAGAGAAATAGTCAGAGGCTCCTGGTGATTAACTGGGCAGGAAGGGATAAGGGCAGAAGAGCTGCTTGTTTGTGTAGTGAATAACGCAACAATTAGTGGGCTATTAAACACATATGCTCGTTCTGCATGGGTTCTATAAACAGTTTCTCCAGCTTGGGGAACGTCTGGGCTTCCTCGGAAGCGCTCGGGCCACGGCCACGCCAGGAACCGCCTCCAACACACCTTTGCAGTGTGTGTTTGTCCAGCCCGGCTCCGCTGGTAATTTTGGGCTGCAGCAGTTAAATGGAAAAAATTTGCTCAGGCTCTCCTCCTGCTCGGTTTGGTTTGAAACGCGGTGGAACTGACGTTGTGTAATGTGGATAATGGCCTGGAATCCAATCCTGCTGTTTGTGTTACCTGGAGTCCGACGTGTGCAGTCTGACCTGTTCTGGGCACCGGGGTAGCACGTCCGTGCGATTCCTGCGACAAGACTCCGTCCCTCTGCCAGAAATGTCTTCAGTTCCTTGCTTGAGTTTGTTCTTGGTCTAATAATAATGTATTGGGATTACATAATCCAAAAATGATCACCCAGCCGGGCGAGCTGCCATTTGTTTGGAGCGTCCCTTGTGCCAGAGCAGTTGCAGGCTTGGTGTGGAGCTGCGCCGTGTGTGTGCATCAGGCAGCAGGGCTGTGGAGAAGCAGATATTTGTCTTCTTGGGTCTCTGCTGGAATTCTCTGTGTCCCGGGGAAGAAAACGGTCGTGGGTCCACGTGTTGCACGGGGCTTGGGGCAAGCTGGTCTGGTGGAAGGTGTCCCTGCCCCATGGAAGGGGGTGGAATGAGCTGAGCTTTGAGGTCCCTCCCAACCCAGACCAGTCTGGGATTCCGTGCTGTTGATGCCCAACTCTTGTGTTCCGGCCGTTCCTGTGTCGTGTTCAGAGGATGTGGAGCTGCTGCTGAGGAACTCCACAGGGCTCCGGCTCTTCCCGATCCTGAAAAGGGTTTCTTTCTTTCTCCAGTAGCTCACCTGACAGAAATAGGAGTCTTGAAAAAAAAAAAAAAAAGAGAGAGAGATAACACTGGCTTCACAGGGGACGCTGTGAGATGTCACCTGGCTGCCCCTTGTGAAACTTGCTGTCCCTGAAACCGCTTCCCCGGGGTTGTGAAAGCGCGAGGGCCGAGCGGTGGCGAGGCTGTCCCGGGTCGGTTTGTCCGCTGGTGAAATGGAACTGGTCCGGTGTGTTCAC